TTGTTTTTAAAGAGTTGTTATTTTTTGATATATTGCTAGGAGTCCCTAACCGCGAGGGAGCGGAAGCGGAATTTCTAGTCATATTGGCGTAAGTTGTTGATACTTGCTGGAATGGCTGTCTTCCTCTCTGTGTGCGTCGAGCTTCGCCCATACTGCATTTTTCTAGGGTGATAATTTTAAGTACTTCCTTGGCTTGGACGAATTTAGGACAGTTACTGTCGGAGGATGGATGTTCTCCTGCGCAATTAGCGCAGAAAGTTCTTGTGCACTCTTCGGAAGAATGTGGAGGTAGGTTGCAGTTGTAACAAGCAGGGTTACTTACGCATCGTTTTAGGGTATGTCCCAATCGCTGACAATTCTTGCAGCGCATGTATGGTTGAACTTTGACCTTGTACCATGCAACGTCTACAGACTCTGGAAGGCGATAGAGGTCGAACGTCAACCATTAGGCCAGTGAAGACCGACTTGCCATCAACTTGTCGCGAAAACTTGTATACTCCGGTAACATTTTGGTTTTTCATTTCGCTGATGATCTCATTTTCAGGCACGTGTTTGAGGCAGGGTGCGTATATTACTCCTTTGACAGAGTTTAAGTTATCGTGTAGTTTAACATTTATTGGGCACAGGTTGGCCAAAGACTTGGCTCTCAAGAATTTTTCAGCGATACGGGCTTTGCGGGTTAAGATTAGTAGATTACCATCTCTTATCTGCGAAATCGAATCTATTTCAGTCGATATGGCCTCGATGCATTTTTTAATGGCGAACGGACTTAGTTGTGAGAGGGAGATGTTGCTATCGGCAGAGGAAATTAATATAAATTGGGGTTATTGTTTGGCGTGGATTTTTGGGGAAGAAGCGGAAAATCATTTAGTTTTACGTTAGGCTTTTTCTTTTTTTGCGGGTTCATGTCGTAGTCCGATAATTCGGAAAACCTGTTAGGAGGCCTATCCGTTGGCCACGGCATGTTAAAAATAAACGATTTACTTTTATTTTATTTTTTTTTTTGGCTCTGAAATCTATGACTGAAAGGACGACAGTCCCTATAGTCAGGTTGTTCCTCCAGGTATGGTATGCTCAACAAGGTGTGTAACTGCTTATGTGTCTGTAGTATTTCCACTGCTACACAAAGTAGTACCGCTGGCCAAAACCCGTGTAGTAGCTTCTGCTTGTGTTGTTTAGTGCGGTTGATTCTCCAAGTGCAATTTGTTAACTGAAGCCGTGTATTAGTGATTTTGATTGTGTGGATGATGATGTGTATACAGCATGTGTATCAGAAGGCAGTTGTGATTGCCATGTATTTTCAGTGGTTTGCGCGATAACGGACTATAAAGGCTTGGGCTAGGTGGAACGATTAAATATTATACATGATATGTGACGAATAGCAAAATTAAAAAGGCGTAAAATGTAACAAACTGGTTAGGAAATTTAACGACAAGTTTTTACATCAAAAAGACATTTTGGCCTTTTGAAAAAATTTGGCAAGCTGAGTTATCTTGGCTAGATAATTGTTTTGAAAAATTGAATGAAAATCGGTAGCATTGTTGAAGATATCGAATTCAGCTCTGATATTATCGAGTCTTCTGCAGTGGAAGGTTTGGTGAATGTAGTCATCAAGTTGTCCACAGTAACAACGTGGCGAATTCAAAGAATTGATTTTAAACAAATATGCCTTATCATACGTGTGTCCTGATAGGACTCTGTTAAGCGTTTTAATGTCCGTTGGTGCTAAAGTTAGTTTTATAAACCAGGCGAAATTTCTCCTGCATGGAAAAACAGATGCAAAAAGGTTGTATTTTAATGAGGAGTAGTTTAAGAATTTTCATTGTACCATTCATCAAATATGGTATTTTTAATCTGCCTAATAGCTTCGTCAACTGTGTATTTGGCCCTTATAGAGGTACCTTCACTGGTGGCTTTTTTGGCTAGTTCATCTGCCCTTTCATTCCCCAGAATGCCAACGTGGCTTGGGGTCCATACCAGATCTATCAGTATACTATCCGCGTCAAGTATTTTTTTATGTATTTGTTGAGCAATGGAATTTTTTGTTTGAGAGTTTTTTAATATATGGCAAGAGGTGAGGCTGTCGGTGAATATAACAACCTTGTCCTGTTTGTTCATGATAGCAATGCTAATTGCTTCATTGATGGCATGAAGTTCTCCAAAAGTGGAGGAAGACTTAAAATCAATACAAAAAAAGGTGATCAGAGTTCTGGGAGTAGTTAAAAATTCCACAGCCCGTGCTATTTTCAGCCAGGGAGGCGTCACTATACAGAATATAAAAACCTCTGTTTTTATAGCTGTTTAAAATCATAGAGTGATGAGTCTTAATGCTCTCAATTGTCAGATTAGATTTTTTGTCAGGTAACATATTATCACAGATATGAAGATTGGAGATATGGAAATTGTGGTGAACCACATCAAGACGGCCAAGGATGTCAGAGAACTTTCCATATACAGAGGAGTAGCTAGAGTTTAAAAGAGGATT